CCCCCCCTGCCCCCCTGCCTCTAACCGCGCGGAGCCGAGCGCCGGCGGTGGGCTCCCCACGGCGCCCAAGGGCCAAGGCCTCAGCGGAAAGGGGGAGATGCGTGGCCTCCTTTGCCGTCTCAGCAGAGCAGGTTGCGCTGGGGCCTCGGGGCATTTGTCACGCTGAGGCTCAGAAGTGCCCTGGGCTAAAACGAGGCCAGATGCCGGGGCGGGGGGGGGTCATCCGAAGGAGGGATGTGACTTTGCATGCTCCCAGACAGGAAGGAAAGCAGTACCTGCACTTTGCAGTCCACGCTGACTGGGATCCCAGCACCCGGTCGGTAGCCGATGATCTGCAAAACACAGGACATTCATGCTCGCTCGAAAGGCAAAGCTGGGCTTGTGCTGCCTCCTTTGCTGGGGGCTCGCGCTCTTGTGCACGACGGTCACAGTCACGCTGCTCAGGGTGACAGTTTTGTGCGGCGGGGCTGGTGGTTCCCCCCAGCCCCCGGCCCTGAGGGCAGCACTGGTGCCTCGGAGGAGGGCAGAGTGCAGACCTCCGGGAGAACCACGTCAAAGACCAGCCGCTTCCCCAAAATCCCCCTTAACGTTTATTTTGCCAGCAGCATTCCCTGAGCCGCTGGGATATTAGACCATTTCAAATAATTTCTGTCCTATAAATGTGCCTGTTACAAAGAGACTGGAGTCGAGGATGTAGCCTCTGAGCTCAGCTCCTCCGGAGCAGCGGTGGGCACAGGACCTACCAAGCACTTAGGCCTTTTTCAAATCAAACTGAGCAAGTTTCGCAAACACATATTGTTTGTATTTTCTAGCAGATACCAGCCAGCAGGTTTTGAATCTACAGTTCCCTTTCCCTGGGTCTGAGAGTCGGAAGAGGGTCGGCGCACAGCCCTTACTCGACTGAGCGGCCTGGGTGTTTCCGTACCCGGTTCATCTTGAGCAGGACGCAGGGCTGGCCCTTCGAGTAGCCGAACGTCGGATCCCCGATCCCAGAGCAGTTCTGCAACAGGGAGCGCTTGAAGCGGCAGGCCTTCTTCTCCTCGCTCTCGTGGCCCCCCTGGATGAAGTATCGCCCCGCCACGCACTCGATATTCTTTTCTTCTTGAACTTTGTCGTCATAAGCTGGTGGGAACCAAGAGGCTGTCAGTGTTTCCCGAGCCCTGCGCGGATCCGCGCTCTCAGAGGACGTCCCCGCGTCCAGGAGGTCGGAAACGCCCGTCCCAGAGGCGTCGCGCAGCCGCAGCACGCAGTGGGGATTGCCCACGAGCCTCCCGTCCTGGACGGGGAAGGTGAGGCGCCGAGAGGCGGCCTGTGCCCCGCCGGGGGCAGCCCAGGCGCGGCGGGGGGCTCCTCGCAGTGCCTACAGCTGAGGGGGGGCATCACCCCCCTCCGCGCCCCGCTCCCCT